TTTTTTTTTTTTTTTGATTTTCATTTTTTGATTTTCTTTCCCTATTCTAGAAGCCAGTCAGCATGCAAGCCGAAATAAACAAATACACAAGTAGCACGTAAGATGTATCAGGATGGTATTTAAATTTGGGTGCACCTGTCCTAGATGGACCCAACCCCTGTGTTGAGTCCCCAAAATCAAATGCACATGATACAAACAAACGTTCCTACTAGGGATCCGACATGAGGCTGAGTTATTCTAAGCTAAAAACCTGGGTATATTGTTCTAGACTTGTGTATCCGAGCGGACAACTCAAGCCGAGAAGGGGGCTACGTACCGGAAACCAAAAGGCCATCCGGCTTTGTAACTTGTCCGAGCCTCTTTCTTATTTCAATGTATGACACTAACAGAAGGAGGAGTCACGCCAGCGTGCACATCCCCTAAGATGAGAAGAGAAGGGTTTCATAATAGTTTATATACAGTTCAAATAATATCAAAACAGTAAAAAACAACACTTAGCACATTAGGCCCAAACACGTAAAAATCAGATAATAAACAAAGTCAACTATAACAATTATTCCAAGCTCGAATTCTGAACTCTGAACCAGAAGTTCTGGGTTCTTTTCCCCAGCAGAGTCGCTAGAGCTGTCACACCTCCTTTTTACCTACACCCCCGAAAGGTGAGTATAAGGGAATTTTTTTCAACTTAAAGTGACAATCGAAACGAGATTATTTTTATGTAAAATTCAGAGTCGTCACTTGAGATAATTTATGGTGTCCCAAGTCACCGGTTCAAATCCCGAATCGAGGAAAAGATTGACTCTGTATTATAGTCCGCGAACACAGAAATCCGGGTAAGGAATTTTATTAATCCGGGAGAAGGTATTGGGAATTCCCGAGTTTTGTGGTTCTAGCACGGTCGCTTAAACTATCATAATTGGCTTAATTATCTGATTTTAATACGTGTTTTATCCTACGGTTCAATTTTAACTTTATAACCGCTTTTATTTAATTATTGGGAAAGATTCAACATTATCTAAAACACATCTTGAACCACATCACATAAATATACCCACGGTCCACGACACAATTTGTCTAACGTTGTTGAGATTTGGATTTGGGTCACATAAATGCGCACCCAAGTTTAGGAGGGTAAATTATTAACTAGCACGCCTAAAGCAAGCTTGAATTTGAATTATTTTCCTAATTTTTGAGATTGTTATAAGGCCAAATTTATGAACAAGATATTATTGGGGCCAAGGGCTAGCTAACATGATCTATTACTTGGTCTAGATTCCTTATAGTTCAAGACACACCCTATGGCCCATTCTTATTCCTTGTCAAGAAAGAAACAACTTCAATTTTCATCTACCCAATTAAAAGTATTTATTCAAGAACCTAGGACTACATGCATCACAATCAAAATAAAATCTAATTAAAACAATTTAATTGAAAACTAGGACATGCCACTCAAACAACGTAGAAACAAAAATCAACCAACATGCGCACTGACCTATCATAGCACAATAAAATGAGAATGAAAATTGAGGAATGGAACTTTTATTGATGAACCAAACTGGAAATTGCAAATCAATCGGGCTAAACAAGCAACAACCCTTGGAATGAAACACCGAAATTACGAATCGAAACCGCGAATCGACACCGGAAAACTCAAAACAAACTCTGGACAACGATGATTTTTGGGGAAATTGGGATACCGGTTTGTTTTTCTTTATTCGAGCGTTACCAAACAAAGAAGTGAAGAAGCAGCGGCTGAGAAAGAAAATCGAAAAATGTAGAGGCAAATCAAGGACTGCATTTGTTTTCTTCCAACTGAGTCACTGACAATTGCCAAAAGAATTATTTCTGACCATACCTCCACTTCAAGTAATCATTATCAAGCCTACCATACTTAATGAAATTTTGGTGCTCATGGATTTCAGAACATGTCACATTCTTATTAAACATAGGTCAAGAAATTTTCTGCCCTCTTTTGAAACTGCTGCTCACGTTTTCTTTTTTTAGCTTTTGGAACGGCGAGTTTCAGCTCCTCCAAGATGATGGTTGTCGTGCCCTTAGGGTGTAGCTTTTTTTGGGAATTGGGGTGTAGCTAGGTCTAGGTTTAGGAATTGAAAACTTGGGGTAGGGTTTCTATAATTGAGTATTTTATATGGAAGTGGCAAAGGATGATGGCCATTGGATTAGAAGGAAATAGATGGCTAGGATTAAATCTTGCACTTAAATGGGCTAATGGGTTGGGAAGAATGGGCTAAGGGTAATTGGGTTGGACCATGTCTTTTTGTGTCTCAATTTTGGGCTAAGAAGACTCCAAAAATTATTATTCAAAACCATAGCTAAATTCCTTTAATATAAGATAACTATACTACATGATGCAAAAACAAATTCTAATTAATTAAACTAAACTATATTAAAACATGAAACTATTATATATTTTTATATTTTTCAAGATTATATAAAGATAAAAAATAAGGTACTATTTTTGTATTATTATTTTTTACTTTATGAAAGGTACATAAAATAAAATATTTTTGTAATTTTTATTTTCTTGTAATAAAATAAAGTAAAAGATTCAAATTAATTAAAATAGCTATATTAGGCCTAAATTAAATATTTACATACTAAAATATAAAAAATCTTGGGGAGGGTCAAAAATCACATGTTTACACTTATTACATTCATAAAGCGAAAAAGTAAATTCCTATCTATTTGGTCCCAGAAGGACCTTCCTCAGGTTGAATGCTCTCGTTGATCAAATCCTCTAGCTCGCGTAGGTTCACCAGTAAAAATGCCTTTGCCAGGTGTTCTCCTTCGTTTCCTTCAGCGTTATGGCAGTCGGTGACTCTCTTCCTCACTTTTTCTTCCAATTTCAGCAGACTGTATTCTAAATATTCCAACTTTTCGCTAGCTTTGGCGGCCCTCTTTTTCCACTTATTGATTTGGTCATTTCATGGAAGACTCCTCCACCAGTCTAGCAAGAGTGGGGGCATGCTAATCATACCGAAACTGGGGACCTCGTGCCTCATTTTTCTGCAATGTAAACAAGGTTAGGCCCTTACCCCCACCAGACTTGACTATTAATATCAACAATTAGCATGAAGCATTTAGTTCTCCAAATAAATGCACATAACGTGATGATGTCCGTTTGGGTTTAGGGAAACCCAATGGACTTTTGGACAAGGCTATCTTAAAGGATCATTATGTGGACAACATAACTGACCCGGCTAGGTTTGACCATGATGCATGCACAATTTAAACAGAGTAAGGTTTCTATGGGGTTTTAGACTGGTACCCTTGAGCGGACAACTCAACGGGTAAGGCACGAAAATGTCGACTGCACCGCTGATCGACTAGTTTTACCGCAAATACGCCTTTCCGAATATAGGGGTAATGATATAGGAAGAGCGCAACCACTCATCAAGCGTTGCTATAGTATTTGTTTGACACGAGTGGAGTATGATGTTGATCATGATTATGCAATAATTGAAAGCATGTTGACATGTATTTGCATGATAAGAAAACAATAAATACAACAATTTTATAATTTAAAGAAATAGTAAAGGAAGGAAACAAGAAAGATATGTCATTTTTGCTTTTGAAGAAGAAATCAAACGCTTAAAGAAAATAAATAAGTAATTGTACATAGGGAGGGGTACAAATTCACAAAAAATAATATGTAATGGTAAAAGACTAAGAATCCCCAGCAGAGTCGTCATGCTGTCGCGCCCCCTTTTTCCTTCCTCGCGGAATCGGGTTCGTGACATTTGGGTATGGGACAACTCTTTCCTTTGGAAAGGGGGTCGCATTTTTTGAGAGTCTCCACCTAATAATTTTTAAGGTGCGTTAGGGCACCTATAGGGTTCATTCATAACTACATTTGGTAACCAGAGATAGGATAAGAGCTTGAAATTATCCTAAGGGGAAGGTGTTAGGCACCC